AACGATAGTAAAGCAATGAATATTTCTTCTGATATGATTAAGATCGGGCGTATTTGACGGAGCAACAGCAGCTCGAAGGGAAGCGAAATAATTCCGTTGTTAAAAGTTCTTTATCGACTGCGAGAAGCTGACGATAAATGTATTTTTGTTCACAACTTGACACATAATCCTTTATTTGTTCAACAAATTTACACGGTGCAGAGTTTACTCTGAAAAACAAATATATTTATATGTCTATTATATTATAAATACGTATGTATGCGCGTATATAAGATGTCTCATATATTAGATTCTTTTGAAGAAGGAAGATTTGTCAGAAAAAAAAAGAAACAAAAAAATAAAAAAAAAAAAAAGAGAAGAACACAATGAAAATGTCTTCCTGTTCTTCCTTTCCAAGATAAATATTATTTAGCGAACTATTGGTTTTATAGATTTTCTATAGATACAAATTGATATGATAAAAGTATAAACATTGACTTACAAACAAGTTTCGATGCGTATGCCCTGTGAAAAATAATCTTCCATTTGTGCTACGAATAGCCACTCTCCCTTAACAGTTTGTGCCGTTTTAGGATAAATCACTCTTTCCTGTAGATCACAATCGAATCAATCAAAATTAACTTTTTAATTAACACTTTAAAAGAATGTACTTTCTATAAAGAAGATCTGTTAATTGAGAAGATATTCGATCGATTGATTTTAATACGAAATTTTTTTTTTATTCAAAATAAAATTAGATAAGATAATGATAGAGATAAGTTTAAATGAATTAATGATTCGTAATATTAGAAGTATTGTATATTTTAGAAATATAATTTGAAAATATATTTATTTAAATGTTTTGAATGTTAACAATGACAATTGTCGTTTGATTTTATAGATATTATTTAAAATTTATTGAAGATATCTTTTGTAATATTTAAAAGATTTTTCAATGTATATTTTCGTAATAAGAGTAAAATTTTAAATGAAAAATTATAATTATAATTTTGTATGATTGATGCAAAATTAGTTTGGCAATCAATGTGTTAATAATAAGTGCTAGAACAAATAATTTATTTAACGATAAATCAATAAATAGATGGATTTATGTGATTAAAGGATCAAAAAAAAAAAAAAAAGAAAAGAAAAAAGAAGAGAAGAAATAAAAAAAGTTAAACGATTTTTTAAGAGAAAATTTTTACTTACAAGAGATAGACACATCGGCGATTCGTCCTTCGCGTCTATTCTTTCTGATAAGTCTAATTGATCCGGTATCTAGATGACGAGTAATCGATCAAAAGATTCATTAAAATCGAAAGAAAATAAGAGAATGAAGGAACGTTCATTTTGTTTTTTTATTTATTTTTTTATTTTTTCCATTGGTCACTTACGAAATCATTAAAAGCGAACTTCATTAAATTCTTATTATTTTCTAATTTATTCTTGACGAATTCATTAGGATAATAAGGAGTTTCCTCGCAATAGGTTTTATTCTTGCATATGTATGGATTTTCGAAATTTCGCATCTGAGATTTACCACCTTCGTTAGGGAAGAATATTTGATCGTCTACATTAACCTTTGCTATTAAAAACAATATCGTTTGATAAATTGATATCACGTTATTATTTAATAATAAGAAAAAAATAAGAAATTTATTTTTCATCATTATGAATAATATAAGAGTTTAAAAATAAGAAAAAAAAAATTTTCTTAGTTTTATTTTTCAAACTAAGTGAGAATTATCATTTTCGGACAATAATATAAAATTTATAATTGATGATCGACGATGTAAAAATGATAATTCTGCAAACGATATGATCATACATTTGCGATATCGTTATATTGATTAGAAAAATAAAAGAAATTAAACATGCAATTGTAAAATTATTATTATTATCTTATTATTATCTTTGATGTAACTTACGTTGAATATTATGCATATATTGTTTGTACCAGGGAGGATATGAAGGTCGATCAAGGTCATATCTCTCATTAAATTTTGCTTGTGAATCGCTATTTGTCTCAACTGCAATCTGCAATTTCAGAACAATTCGTTAGAAATGCTAATTACGATCTTTCCTTTTGATTAAAGAGTACGAGAAAAGAGCGAGAGAGAGGGAGAGAGGGAGAGAGAGAGAGAGAGGGAGAAAAGGGTAAACGAAAAGATATTCGTGATTATCGTGAAATCGTAGTAATGCAGCTGGCATATGAAGAACGTATTTGACGTAGAAAGAATAATGATTGTAGTATGAAAAATTTGAATGATTTCTTTGAACCAGTTTATTGAAATTCGCGATTAAAAGAAATGAAGAAGCCTTTAATTTTTATTTTATTTTATTTTATTTTATTTTATTTTATTTATTTATTCCTTTTTTTTTCTTTTCTTTAAAAACACAACTCAAAGAAATAATTTCGATTTCGATCAATGAATATTATTAATTGTTATTTAAATTTATTGTCATCGATTTTTTTTTTCATCTTTCTTTTTCTTTTGTTTTCTTTTTTTTTTTTTTTTATAAAAATATCGTTAATATAAATAAAATTATATTAATGGAAAATAATAATCCGATTCATTGAATCATTTCCAACGAACAACTACGTATTACTTTTTTCTTTTCTTTTTTTGAAAGAAAAAAATAAGATTACAATACAAAAAAGAAAAAAAAAAAAAAGAAAAAAAAAGAAAAAAAAAGGAAAAGAAAAGATGCAGCGAATAAACAAAAAGTTAATCTCGCATTTCCTTCTTTAATAAGATCATCGATAATTCTCTCGTCAGTTCTTATTTAAAGATATTCAAACTCGACAACTTATTTCCTTTCCTTTATTTTTCCGTATTTCTCTTCTCCTAGATAAAATTCTTTGATTTCATTATCTACGAGAATCGATAATTTTTAATAACCGATAAAGATAAATATTGTATAAGCTATTAAATCAAGGCTTTTGATATTGAAGATAAATTATAGAAGTACGGATTGTTCTTTTATATTCTTTTATATTCTTCAAGCACGAGATGTATCAAGATAAACAAAAGAAATTTAAATGCATATACGTAATGTTTAAAATCAACGATTAGAAATCTATGATTAGAAAACATGGAGTATACATATGTATATAGATATATATATATATATATATATATATGCACACTAGATAGATAATATATTTATAGATAAATATATGTATGTATATATATATATATAATACGATATGATTAAGAAGATAAGAGAAAGAGGAATTCAATTAAATTTGGATGAGTCAATAATATTTCTTTTCAATTTGATTTGCTTCGTTAGTACCGATGAAGAGATTTAAACAATCTGATAATAATGATTTAATTACTTTGACGATAAGCTTAGAGACAATGAACATGAGAATTTTTAAATAAATGTCTACAATACAGATCGATTAATCTTATTTATCTTATAGCTTCTATTATTAATTGATAAGATTAGTGAAAGTATTCTTTGATCTTACGTGCAAATAAAAATTATTAATATACTATAGATTTAATATAAGGAAATTACAATGTTAGGTGTCTTGAAGAAAGAGAAAAAAGAAAAAAAAATTAACATTCATTAATGATCATAGTGAAAGAATAAAAGAAAAAGAAAAAAAAAAAAAAGAACAAAGAAAAAAGAAGAAGATGAAGATGAAGAAAAAGAAGAAAAGAACATTTCTACAAAAAAAAAAAAAAAAAAAAAAATAATAATAATTCATACATATGATAATATTTTGCTGAAGCAAACGTACCCAGAGTAGAAGAATAGTCTTGACCACGATCTTGAAAGGGTGATAATCAACACCAAGATGACTCTTCGCCATTTTGATACTCGATTTATTTCTTACTCTTCTTATATCTTCCTTCTTCCTTTTTTATCTCTTTCTCTCTCTCTCTCTCTCTTTCTCTTTCTCTTCCTCTCTTTGAACCTCCTTGAAAAGATCCTCAAAGGATGATAAAGACATATAAGAGAGAACGTTCAAATGGTTGAGGAAGGTCGAAGTCACGTGATAACAATATATTATTTTTCCTTTTTCCTATTCGCTTTTCAATGATGTAAAGGAAAAAGAAAAAAAGGAAAAAGAAACAAACAAAAAAAAAAAAAAATTCATCTAGATACACCTTCTTTTTCCTTCTCTTCTTTTTCTTCTTTTTCTTCTTCTTCGTCTTCTTCGTCGTCTTCTTGTTCTTTTGTTCTTTTCCTTCGTTTTTTTTTTCTTTTTTTTTTTTCTTCTTTTTTCTTTTCTTTCTTCTACTCTATAAATGAAAAATAGTAAAACTTGACATAGATATATGTAATAAAATAATAATTTTTTGTCTGTCACTCTGTACCTTTATTTTCGTAGAGATATAAACGTTGTCTATGCTTGTCCTTCTGAATCCCGTTCTTTCGTTCTACCTGCTGTCAGCGCCGTTACTGATCGACTCGGCTTTCTTCGTTAGCTTTTCAAGCAACGATAGACGATATTACTAGCCCCCGACCTTGGTTTGGATATGTTAAACCGCAAAGACCAAGATACGGTTATGATTTGTTCGAAAACTCGACGCTTAAAATTATATTTGCATATTATTCATGGAAATTGTTAAACTTACATATAAAAGAAATTTATATATATTATTTCCTTTTCCTTTTTTTCCTTTTTTAAACGTTAAATTATTTCATTTAAATTCTCATCCTCTTGTTCCTTTCCTTTCTGAACCACGAAACACCCCTATTAATTTATAATTATTATTTCTATTTTTCTCCTTTTTTTTTCTTCTTCTTCTTTTTCTTCTTCTTCTTCTCATTAAATTGCCAAATAAATTTATCAATGGATTGAAGATCGTATAAGGCGATATAATACTTACCTACTTATGACGAGTTTTATTCGATCGATCATTCTTCAAATTCGTTGTCGATGTTCTCAATTCAATCAATATGTTATCGATCAACTTCCAAAATTCGTAAGTCCTCTTTCTTTCTTTCTTTTTTTTCTTTTGTAGTTTTACGGTTTTATTGATTTACCTAATTTTCAGAAAATCTCGACTAGTTGTCAACCGCATATATATATATATATATATATATATATATAAATACTTATATATGTATATTTTAAGAATTATTCGCTTCGTAAACACGTTTTCCGCTTCACAGAAGGTCAAAACTGTCGCTTCAAATTTGACTTACAGATCGCACACACATATATATATATATATATTTCGGTGTATCTTATACTAATTCTCTTTTACGATCGATACTTATGATATATAATGCATAAGTAAACGAGTTACGATATATTAAAACGTGTTATGTGTTACAAGACTATTTAATGATTACGTATATATGTTTCTATGTGTATTTTGTAATTGAGACGGATCGATTAATTAGAATAAACTCGTTTTACTGATACCTGAAAGATGTGATTTATGTAAAATAAAGGATGATGAAACTCTCACATAGACCGTTCTCACTCTTGTCTGTTGGAGACTGTTGAACAAACTACCTGTGCCAATCGTGTTCAGTACGATCTATGATAGTTTTTGTTTCTTGCGACATCTGTGTAAAATGTTTGTGTATATCAGTGTCTCTATTACGTTTCTCTATGTTATCTGCCATTCGAAGCGTCAACTAAACGCTACAATACATTCTGATCGACTATTGTCATAAGCCCGTTACAATGTTGAATTAACTTTGATTAAAATCTTTTGATTCGATCGATTGACGTAATCGAACATGTAATAAATTTCTTTATACGTATGTATATGTGTGTGTGTGTTGTTTCTTTTTTTTTTTTTTTTTTTTTCTTTTAACATCACTCTTTTTTGGAAAGTAAGTTTGATCGTAAGTAAAAATAATAAACCTCATAGTCCTTGAGATCCTTCAAATAGAGATTATGTAACTCGAATTTGTAATGTTTCTCTCTCTTTCTCTTTTGCTTCTTTTCTCTCTCTCTCTCTTTTTATCTTTTTGATATTATCAGAAATTTATGGAATATATTTCGATGATCTTTGGAATGTTAATAATGATAACGATAATTTATATGAAAATAAAAATGATTAAACAGTACTTATGTTGATAAGAATTCAAAGATGATTTAATGTTTCTGTATAGAATATTAGACAGATGTTAATACACACGCACACAAAGGGAGAAAGAGAGAGACAGAGAGAGAGAGAGAGAGAGAGAGAGAGAGAGAGAGAGTAAAAACAAAGACGTATCGAGAAAACAATAATTGTTATCGATTCAGCATTATTGCAATTGTGATGTAGGTAAATAATAATTGGCTTGGACTTCCCATGCAATTTTCTGTATATAATAGCGATCGTCGACCGAAGAATATCAATAGCCATCTCATAGAATTTATTTCATAATGATCTATATATATTAAAGTAAAAATATAATAATTTTGATCCTTAGTCGAATCATATAAAAAATATTACGATAAAATTTAACGTTCGATAAAATTTATTGGAATGTTAAATGAAATAAATCAAAAGAAGTGTAAGAAAAAAGCATCATTTTTTTTTTTTTTTTGATATATTAGACAGTGAGGATAATTCATTTATTTTTCATAATGAAAACTTTTAACCGTTTGGATTAAATTAATGGAAACGTGTTTTGAATTCCGCTTAGTAACGGTCTCTCCAAGATTAAAAGGCAAGAAATACTCAGAACGTATAGTATATATAAAACAAAAATAACTTTAGTTGCGGATTACGTCACGACACGATGAGAGCACGATTTAATTAATCCACGACGATTTTATGCTATTTAACGGAAAAATCGAATAGGCATACATACGTATGTATGAAATTATGTTTTTCTTTTATAGACGTGACAAGATTTTTTCCTATGATTCATACGTGTATCTATGTCTATATATTTTTATATTCGATGTCATTGACTCTTACAGAAGTTTTTCTTTTTTTTTTTTATAGATTTTTTAAGAACTTCATAATAATAATAATAATAGTTAATAATAATAATAATAATAATAATAATAATAATAATAATAATAATAATAAAAGAAATTAAATTATATTGAGACACAGTACTAAATATATACAAGACAATAAGCACACAACAGACCGAATATAACATACATCAACAATACAAATAAAATCAGATACTTAATAGATATCGCAATCGTTAATGAATTAAATATAAAACATAAAAAGGATAAAAAAAAAAAATAAAAACACAAATATGCCTCACTAACGAGAGTATTGAAGGATATCTGAAAATAAAATATAAAAATAATTTCTTTGATTATATTCACAACAGGTATTGCTCCGAAATCATTGATATAAAAAAGAAATATATATATATATATATAGATCTTATTTTGTATCAACGTACAAAATATAATATTCAAAATTGTGCGGAAATTATTTGGCTCATCCTTCATAACAACAACAACAACAACAACAACAACAACAACAATAATAATAATAATAATAATAATAATAATAATAATAATAATAATAATAATAATAATAATAATAATAATAATAATAAGAGGAAACATGGATTCATAATATAAATTCAATAATCAAAAAAGGATACTACAATAAACATATCATCAAAGATCGTAACATTCCAACATATAAATGCAGGATGTCTAAATGGCAGGTAGGAAACAATAGACTACATAACAGGAGGACGTAATATACTAACTAATAAAGAATATGTCAGGAAACATGACAATGTGGTTAAAAATATGTATCTTAAGAATTGACCGTAAAATGTAAACTAATAAACGAATGAACATCAATTTAGAATTATCAGAGACAATATAACATCATGAAACAAGTCAGATATTACGTTGATAAATCAACGAAGACTATTTATATTCTAGAAATTATGCATTCCAAATACATACATACAATAAGTATATAGAAAAAACAAAAGAAAAAAAAAAAGAAAAAAAAACAAGAGAAAAAATAAAGAAATATAATTAATAGAAATAATTAAACGAATTATAACAAAGTAGAAATTAATCCCAATCATTATTTTATTTATCGGAATTATATCAAAATATTTCAATCATAAAATAAACATTAAAAGCACTTGATATCTCTCAAACTATATACATACGTTTACAGAAAACAGTCATACCGGATACACTTGCCCACTCACTCAAAAATTTCTCAAATATATGTATATATATATATATATATATATATATATACATATATTCATAAACAGAAGATTCTAAATAGAGACTATCCTTGGAATCAGCCTGCAAGATGTTCTAAAAGATCAGAATTAATCTGCGAAAACAAGAAATAATAATAATAATAATAATAATAATAATAATAATAGTAACAACAACAAGAAACTTCATAAAATATCTTAAAACATTGAGCGTAAACACATATACATATAGGTATATATACAAACATTTAGAAAGCAATAATATTAAAAACAGCTGTAATAATAATAAAAAGACGTATGATCTAATCGTAATCCGTCAAATGGTTATACTTTCAACCAATTGTAAGGTCAAAAAAAAAATTAATAATAATAATAATAATAATAAATTAAAAAGAATCTTTAAAAATATTTTAATTAAATGAATCGATGAATAATTACGAAATAAAAATTCGATTGGACAATTAATTAAAAACGATTTTACTTATACGTGCATATGTCTAAAAATATGGTAAAATGGTAAATATGGTAAAAATTTCAAAAGGAAAGAAACGAAGGAAGACAATGTTTAATAAATTCTTTTAATAAATTAAATTTAATAAATATCTAATTTTAGTAATGAATGTTGATTGTATCATATTCGTTATCATTTTCCGGAAACTCTTGACAACCACTTTTAACTTCCCCTGTCGTAGTCTGGATTAGTTTGTGGTTTGAAAGTGTCGGCTAATAGTCAACCAAAGTGCCGGTCAATACCGCGAACATTAATCATAAAAAAAATATATATATATATACACGTATATCTGATTATATATATATATATATATATATATATATATATATATATATATATATATGTATATATATAAAAAAAAAAAATTGATACAGGAGACGAAATTAACAAAATTGTCGGGAAGTTTATAACTATTTATGATAACAAATTTGACCGCTTGATGAATCCATTAGCCATTCGTGATGTTGGAGACTTTGGAGGGTTGTAGGGATGAGAAGGGAATAAGGGGATGAGGGGTAGCTCGTTAGTATTTTTATTTTTATGAATAACGATACACGTAACTGTACGCGTACCTCTCTCTGAATTGAATGGATATCACTTAATGGATTAATTTCCTCAAATTATGTTTTGCGTGTCAATTAAAATGGAGGTATACATGGAAAACCTATAAAATGAGATACTCTATGAATTTCCTTTCGAAATTATTTTTAACGTTACTCTTTTGATCTTGATTAAATTAATAATGAACGATGAACGAATACAAATGATATAAATAAATATTTTTCTTCTATCGTTCTATGTTATGGAATCCGATGTTTCGAAATAACGATTAAAATTTTTCTTAAAATTCGTTCGAGGGATATATATGCATAGTAACGAAAAGTGCATCGTTCATAGTTTATTTGCGAACGAGCTACAAGAAATAAACGGAGATTTAAGGTAAGAGAAAGTTCAATAAACTTGAATAGTTTGTACGCAATGCACGGATGGAAAAGAGGATTAGACATTTGGCGTAATGTAAATAAAGAAAAAGAGGAAGATCATATCTCAAATTCCTTAAAATTGAAATGATAAAGTTGTGTCATTTGATAGAGATCAAAATTTGTTTTAATGAATATTTCGAACATCGAATTTTCAAATATAAAATATAAAACAAAAATGAAAATAAATAAATAAATAAATAAATAAATAAATAAATAAATAAATAAATAAATAAATAAATAAATAAATAAATAAATAAATAAATAAATTGAATCTATTATTTGTTTAATTAAGATACTTATTGAAAAAGAAAACAAACAAAAAAAAAGAAATAAAAAGGAAAGAAGAAAAATCGTATTATTCGATTAATAAATGACATATGTGTAATTTCTAACTTTAATCAATTATCAAGAGAAAATGAGATTCTTAAAGGAGCCAATTAAACTTTCGAATTTGTAAATAGAACCTCACCTTTATATCGAAATATAATGAATCTCAACTAATAATATTATATTAGTTGAGATGATATTATACTGCTTGTTAAGGGAAGTCTCGATGATAGTGAGCAAAAGCGATCACAGCATGCGCCAGCTGTCGAGAATATACTGAATTCAGGAGATGTGTTATTCAGTAAGAACTTGCGGATAACAAAGTTCTCAGAGATATCCTACCTTGCGTCAGATTACTGTCATGCAATTGGAATTACCGACTTGAAACGAATTCCAGTTGAAATTTAATCATAGAAACGATCGTTCCATTACGAGAAAATGATTTCACATATTAACGTATGTAACTTGAAATAAAAATTTGAAAAATATCTTCAACGTGAAATACGAAATTATAAACTTATGTCAATTAAATTTATAAAATATTTGTTTGACCAAAGAAAAGAAAGTATCGTGAAAAAGTAAATGGCATAAAAGAAAGAGAGAGAGAGAGAGAGAGAGAGAGAGAAAGAGAAAAGTAGACAAGTATTTTCAAAAGTTTTAAG